CTCATTTACTACTCTAATATTTCTTTTTAGTTTGTTGAATTAGCAAGTATAAACAGGGATCAGAATTCATAGTTTTTGAATGTCTAGGTAATGTTCTAAAAATGTTGAGATATGTTTTCTAATTTCGTAATTAAGAATCTAACCGTCTCTATACTTCTAAGAGGTAGTGGTAAGATCTGTGAATATATATTATATCCTCTCTAGACCCCTCACTTGTGGGATTTCATCGGCACGTTGTTGTAAGAATCTAAAAGGAGAGGTTGTTTACTAGTTTAGTTTATCAAATAGTTAAATTTCGGAAGAAATAGAGAAACAGACTTTGGAGTGTGAAAAAATTGTTGAAGAAATAGACAAACAGACTAAACATTGTTGATAAGTCATGAAGGTATCAAATCAGTTTCTAGTCAGCTTTAGTGTAATGCAATATTATCCTCATCATTTGGTGATATCATTTTAACTAAATAACATAATAATATCAATGTGACGAAATAATTAAGGAGAAAATTTCAGAAATAATAAGGCTCTATAGCTATAGTTTCGATAATTATATTTCATAGCTATAGTATTATTTGAGGTTGCGGTTGTGTATATATATATATTTATGCATGTTTGTATATTTCGTTTGCAAATACATAGATAGGGTAAGTATATACAAATTATGTATTTATATATTTAGGAAATTTTCAAAACTCCGTTTTTATGCCAATATACAAACAGGGTAATTTATTATGTATTTTTCATAAATCGTATACAAATAACTAGGGTAAACATATACAAAATTCTGGATTTATACAATCAGAAACAGAATTATAAAATTTTTGAATTTATACAAATCAAGCGAATAACAAGACTGTGCAAAACTGTAGCTGAGAATTATAATTTTTCCTAAACAGTAGCTATAGCATTTGATATGATTTAAATGTTTGTTATTCTCCACAATTTTTCCATAATTAAATACTCATTTAACACGATTTTTTAAAAAAAAAACTTGAATTTTGTGATTTTAAACATATCATTTGGAAAGTTAGAATTAAAGAGTTGCTTAAAAAGGAAATAATCATTCTTTTTGAAGCAGACAAAAAATAAATAGGTCAAACATTTTGAAACGAAAGAAGTACTACTTATTTCCTTTTGTAAATAGTGTGTTCCTACAACCGAAAACAAACAACAACATACCCGGTATAACCTCACAAATAAAATTTAAAAATTAAAAATTAAATATATGCAAACCACAATAAAAAGAAAAGGTACTCGACTCATTATTAAAAAAAATGATTAGCAAAATATAAATAAATATGAAAAAACAAATAATCATACCCATTAAATTAAGAATAAGAAACTAAGCAACACTACTACAAAAAATAGTATGTTCATACTACTTTCTAAATAAAGTATAAACAAGAAAAGAAGTTAAAAAAATAATTTGCACAAATCAGAAATCACTTTGTTGAGATAACTTGTGGTTCAAGTCAAGTAATATCAGCGCGTATGTACTTACGTACTTTTAAGGATCCTTGCTGGTTTCCAGACTGCCCCATTTTGCCTTTTACCTCTATACTCCTTTTTTTCGAAAAAGTATAAGTAGATATTTAAGTTTGTATAAAATTGAATAAGATGTATTTTATGTGATAATTCGTGTGAGACGCTACATAGGATGTATGCAGAGGCGGAGCCAACCTTCTGTTAGGGGTTCATCCGAATCTCCTTCGGCGGAAAATATTACTATTTATACGTACTGGTTAAAATTATTTTTTATGTATATATAATAGATGTTGAACCCCCTCGATTAGTTCGTGTGTTAAGTTCTTCAAATTTTGAATCCCTTATTAAAAATTCTAGCTCCGCCACTGAATGTATGTATGCAGTGTGTGCACACTTGTTCAACTTCATTCAAATTTAAATATATATTTGTATTGTACATTTAAAATCGAAGGACATTAATATCAAATAAACCAAGTTAAAAAATATGTTTATGTGTTTTGCCTTTCAGAAAACTGTCAACTTTTCTCTTCCTGATTTAATTTGTTAGTATTTGACTGCAATTATTTTTTCCACGCTGTCAAGAAGCTCTAAAGATTTTTATTTTTTTATTTTTTTATTTTTCTTTAAGAAGCTCTAAAGAGTCTTTAAAACTAAGGGTAAAATTTCATCATTTTAATTTTTAAGCATTAAATGTTCTCTAGAAAAAGAAAAAAAAATGTCCCTTAGTATAAATGAGACAGGAGCACATGATAGTTTTGACACAGTCTTGATCGATAGGAGAAAAATATATATTTTGAATGTTCTGCGTCTGCTAAATAAGAAAAGTAAATACTAGAGTAAAATAAATATGACAGAGGGAGCTAGTGTGTCTATTTTCCCTTATACAATATTAGAAGAACATGTTACAAATACTGATTTGGTTTAGAAAATGTGAAATAGTTGTTAGAGATTATTTCAACTCTTAAATATTACTCCTTTCATTTCAAATGTTTTTTAGTCCCTTTTGAAAATAATAATCTTTTTCCTTTTTAATAACTCTTTAGTTTTTATTAGTTTTGTTCTTAAATTATGGACAGTCTTAAAAACACCTTTCTACTTAACTATTTAAACTTAATAAAAGGTAATTTCAAACTCTTGTAAGAGTATAAAAATCTTAATAAAAGTCAGAAACCGTTGAAAACACCTCTAAACTTGGCAAGACTTAAGGAGTGTATTTCACTTGTGTTGTAACACCGAAAGTGTATTTAAGTTCAATTAATCAAGTTAAGGAATGCTTTTAAGACTGATAGAGATGAAACTAATAATTAATTCATACATTGAATTTAATAGTATTCTCAATAGTTCTCTCAAATTAAAATGGAAGAAATATTGTTTGTGAATTTAAGGACAATATTGTCATTTTGATAGATAGTAAAACCATTTATCCAAGTTCTACATTGGATTAAAGTACTGGAAAATGTCTGTCTTCCACTCTGATGTTTACATGTAGACATTATACTCTCTTGACTAAAATGATCTCCTCACTTCAAAGCTCACCCCCCCCCCAAATCACC